TACACACACACACACACACACATACATATATATATATATATATATATATATATATATATATACTCTATATATATATATATATATATATATATATATATATCATCACTGTTTTGATATTAAGCAGCACAAATGTATGTAATAACAAGATTTTTTTTTCTTGAGCACAAAATCAGCATATTAGAATGATTTTTAAATTGAGTCAGGACTGGTAAAATAATAATAATAATAATAATAAAATAATAATACAAATAATAATGCCCCCAGATAAGGTCACACAGATATACTAAAAAACAATCTCTAAAATAAAACATGGTTAAACTTTAAATATAAATATTACATATTAAATGGGTAGCTCACCCAAAAATAAAAATGAATCACCCTCATGCCATTCCAACCCTGTATGACTGACTTTCTTCATGTGGAACACAAAAGACAACATTTAAAAAAATGTTTTAGTGTTTTTTCATTGTGATTTTCTTTTTGGACCCCATTGACTTTCATTGTTTGGACCAAAATGTGGAAACTTTCTTCATAATATCTTCTTTTGTGTTCCACAGAAGAAAGAAATTCATTCAGATTTTAAATTACATAAAGATAATTTTGGGGTGCAATATCCCTTTAAGACACCCTGAACTAACTGATGACTTTAATACATTAAGCCCAACGAACATTAATAAGGGACGTGACACCAGTAGATTGAGGACTGATTACCACAATGGCTGGCGTCCTTGCGTGGGTGTGCTATACATTACCTGTACAGACACGTAAAGTGCTTTTCAATTACTGCCAACGTGACATTTTAACAGTTCATTATCTTCTTGTTAGATTACAGCTAGCCTACCTAAAACGAGCTTAGTTTTGAGTACATCTGAATTCAGTAAGGAATTTACTGTATCAGTGATCATTTGCACAGTCTGATCCTGGATCAGTTTGGAAACTCTGAGAATCTCCTCCGTGAATTAACTTGTATTAGATTAATCAGCCGCGTCTCTTTATTTGCCTTTGGGAGATGCTAACTGTACCCCCTTCAATCCTCAACAGACACCTCAGGTTTAAGATCAGTACACACATTTACACACACACAAATCCTCAAACACAGAATCGACGTCAACGCCAAGCACAGTGAATTGTTGCACTGACAGACATGTCAATTTATAGTCAAGCGGGAATATAAAGAAAACCGCCGCTCAGATCATAATAAAAACATGTAAATGTACGACAGACGTTTGAAAACAGACACACATATTGAGGTTGTGAAACCCGCGACTAATGACATGTCTTACATTAGGGCTCGGATCTGGACGTGTGCGAGATTCTCTTGTGTCTGTCATCTTCCACATCTCTTTTCCGTGTTGTTTATTCATCTTTGTGGTGATGGGAAAACACAAAGCCACTGATCCATGTCCAAAGCTGACAGAAATGGAACAGCCTCATGGCATTATCCTCTTGAAGAAAACTTAAAAAAAAAATGGTAAAAGTGGAGGAAAAGAAGAGGGAGATTTAGGGGTTTAGGATGAGAAAAGATAGGGAGAGAGAGGCTGAATAAAATAAAATGGCTTTAAAATAACTCTACTGAATTGTTATATATAGTCATTTTTGTATTACATTTTGTATATGTAGACATATGTCTGATCTGAATTGAGCCGTAGGCACAGCATTCAGAATATAGCATAAAATTCCACATGAAGAATTACCTGGAAGAACATATGTCTTCACAAGCAGCGCGCATTGACTGTAAAACCTGCAGTGATAAAAAGCATAGGCATATCAAAGATACAGCACCATGACTCAATCCAATACTGGGAAGAAATATTGTAACTGCCTTATTTACGGTTTATCTCCATTTTTTGAGCACTTACTGTTGAGTCAAACTGGAAATGTAAAAATGAGAGAGCAGGAGTTTTCAAACTGGGTTCCAGAGGTCACAGAAAATGTGAGAAAATAAAAATGTGACAAAATGTTGTTTTTGGGGCTGTCGACTTAACTTACAAAAACAAATGTAATACTCTACCATTCAAAAGTTTGGGATTTTAAAAATGTTTTTCAAAGAAGTGTTTTATGCTTGCCAAGGTTGGATTTGTTTGATCAAAAATACAGAAAAAAAAACAGTAATATTGTGAAATATTACTATAACTTAAAATTACTGTTTTCTATTTTAATATATTTTAAAATGCAATTTATTCCTGTGATGACAAAACTGAATTTTCAGCATCATTACTCCAGTATTCAGAGTCGCATGATCCTTCAGAAATCATTGTAATAATATGCTGATTTAGTGCTTAAGAAATATTTATTCTTATTATCAATGTTGAAAACAGCTGTGCTGCTTAAAATTTTTGTGCAAACCTTGATTCATTTGTTTTCAGGATTCTTTTATGAATAGAAAGTTCAAAAGAACAGCATTTATTTGAAATAGAAATCTTTTACAACATTATAAATGTCTTTAGTGTCACTTTTAATTAATTGAATGCATCCCTGCCGAATAAAGTATCAATTTCTTTCCAAAAAATATCTTAATGAATGGTAGTGTAGACATTAAAAATTTCAATGCAATATTTTTTTGCATGTCTCTTTGAAATTATATTTATTGTGAAAATTACAATAAATATTTTATCGTATTGTATTTTGTTGACAATTTACAAATAAATGTTTCTGTGATATTGTTTATTTTTATGCTAAATTTTCTAACATTAATTGTGTGCACACACACAAAAAAAACTAAATTATATTTGTGAGTTAATTTGTGAGTGATGTGATGCAAAAGCCACTTCATGTTGCCTTCATATAATATTTCATGACACTACAAAAATCATGCTAAATAGTTATAACACAAATACATCATTTGGATTAAAAGCTATTGCTGATTCTGGTGACTAATTAAATAACTGACACAAATCTATACTTTTTCTCTCTCACACACATATGCACCCCACAAAGACACAGAACATTGGTCACACAAAAGTCCAATTTGTCAGCAAGGCTGGATCAGTCTGTCTGTGTGACAATTTGCAAACCGGCGTCACTCCATGCTACACGGCTCCCTCTGTTCTAGCGGTTCCACTCATCCATGGGATTACAGAGGAGCTGATGGGAAAGCAGAACGAGAGCTCAGACACTGCCAAAGGCTGAAGAGACAAAAGACACCAGAATAATAGATACACACACTGAAAGTTGGTAACTGAGGATTCTGCAACTACTGTAAATTTCGGGGAAGCCATAGTGCTTACAACTGTTCACAGGAGTCATATCACGACCAATCGTTAATTGTAGGGACATTTATAGCTTTCCTACATTTAAAAATGAAAATTACACCTAAAAATTATCATTTACTCACCCTCGTGTTGTTCTTAATCGGTGTTGTTTTTGTTAAATAAAACTATTAAACTAATAAGTAATAATAATATAATAATAGTTTCAGTAATTAAAGTGAAATAAAATTAAATATATTACATGAACATTTATATAAATATTACAGTTAAATGAAAATGTTGCCTTGTCAACTAAACAAATAAAAATGGCAAAAGCACATAACAAAATTACTAAAACAAAAATTTTAACTGAAAGTATTAAAATTAATTCCAAAAAGGAAAAAATAACTCTCTTTTTAGTTTTTTTTTTTTTAGTTTTTAATCTAAGCTTAGAAAAGTGGAGGCATCTCTTGTGTATTCTGTCACAACCAAACTTCTCTCACTGAACACATTTGTCTACCCAAGCAGGTGAAGTCAAAGCCTCTGCCACAACCTCTTAATCCAGTTGAGGAGTGCCACTTTATGTGGCTTTATGCAGCTGACAGAAAGCAGAGAGCGACTCTTCTTGTCCTTAAACTGCAAAGTTTTGCATTAATCCTCCTGTTGGAGGGAAACGGAGAGGACATGAGACATATTGTTCTTGAAAAAGAGGGAAAGAAAAATCCTTAAACCCTCTCTGAAAAGAGATGTGTTCCGCCTATATAAATAGAGGCCATTCGGTCTGCCTCGCCTCCAGCTCCGTTTTATCTTTTGTGTTCTGCCTCCCTTGACTTCTCCCTGAACCCTGCATCTTTCGAGACGTTTTCAAATCTTTTAAGAGTATTTGGGATATTCCCTGTATTTTGACACTTCCTCTGCCTGTTTGCTGGCTTTATCTTGTAAGTCCTTCGCTACCCCTGCTCTCCCGCATCTTTTTGTCCTTTTCCTTTCCCCTCAGCAATCGCTAAGTACAGAAAACAAAGCATGGAAAGTGAACGCATAAGAGCAGAAATAAAGAGCAAGGCCATAAATGCGATCAAGTGCCGACCTGAAGAAGTAAACAGCTTATTTGTCAGGCGTTTCGCCGCTCTGATCTTCTGCAAGGTCTCCTACTTGAGTTTTCTCTGTTGATTTCCTGCCTCTCCGTGTGATGAATTCATGCAGCAAAGGGCCGATGAATAAATAAACAAGTCAACAATCCCTTTTGTTCAGGGATGGGAGGCTGGAGTCCTGTAAGAGGAGTGCAGTTTTATTGGGAGAAAATGTGCTGTTTCTAATGCTGCCTAAGCCCTTAAGCTGCTCATTTCAAGGCTATTGTTACCTTACCATTGTGTTTTTCCCTCCATCTCTCCAGCGCTCTTGCCTCCGCAGAGGAATGAGGGCAGTTCGTGGCTATGGGTTCGAGGTAAGGTGAAAGGCATGCTGGGATATCCCAGAGTGGCCAGTGTGATAGAGGATGATCTACTGAGTTTGAGCTTAAGATTCAATAAGAGTGCCTCTTGAGGTTCAGCGGCTTAACACAGATGCATATGGACATGCACACACAAATACACACTCACTCACGTTCTCCTTTAATGTGCGTTTCCCTTGTTCTCTAGTATCCTCATACCGCATCAAAGCATGAAAGGGAGAAAGAGAGAAAGGGGAACGAGAGCTCCAGACGGTCTGAAAAGGAGAGGTCCGAGGTAAGACATTAGCATGGAGAGGAGCAGACACAGATTACGGGTAAGAAGAGGCTCTCTCGAGTCCTCTTGCCAGTTTCCTTTCCATCACTTTCAGACTTACTGCAATTATTGTGTTTATGTGGAAAAGAATATTCTGATTAATATATCTGGCATATTCCTGTATTAACCTGAATAACAGTGTCATGTAAACAGAATGTTCAACTATACAGAACATTCCATTATATAAGTGCAACTACCATTCAAAAATGTTGGGGACAGTCAGAGTAAACATAAATAAATAAATAAATACATATTCAGCAAGGATGCATTACATTGATTAAATGTGACAATAAAGACATTTGCAAAATTGCAAAAGATTTCTATTTCAAATCTGTTCTTTTGAACTTTCTATTCATCAAACCATCATGAAATCCTTTCAGTTTCCACTAAAAAATTAATGTCATGCATAGTAGTTGAAAGAGACGATGATGAAGAAGATTAAGTAAAAAGTCTTTATTAGCACACTCAGAAGGTAAACCTAACAAAGAGAGACACGAAAGTACAACTCATGCACTAACGACACCTGAACTCTGAAAAGACTGCAACTTAAATACCAAGCAAATGAGGGAAATAATGATAAAAACCTCTCAGAGTAAATGAATCACCATGACAACAGATAAGTAAATGGGAAAACTGAACAAATGAGGAAGACAGGAAACTAATGAGAAGAAACTAAAAGTCCATGATAATGAAACTACCCAAATAGATTCGTGACAATTATGCACAACCGTTTTCTACATTTATAACAATAAGAAATGTTACTCGAGTTCATATTAACAATGATGTCTGAAGGAACATGTGATACTGAATATTAGAGTAATGGCTGTTGAAAATCCAGCTTTGCCATCGCAGTAAAAAAATTACATTTTAAAATATATTAAAACAGAAAACAGTAATTTTAACTAATACTAATAAATTAAAATAAACTCATTTTAGTTATTTTAAACTAAAGTATTTCACAATATTGATGTTTTTTTACTGTAAGGTGTCCTCAATGAGCATAGGATCTTAAAAAAACATTAAAAAAAAACAGTTTTTGAACAGCAATGTATGGTATATTTATTCATATATGTACAAATATATGCTAAAAGCTTTACCAAAACATATAGACCATAACCAAAATATTTGGACCATATTCTAGTGCATATACATGCAGTCAATTAATAACTGCATTTATATACAGCAGAATATTCTATTATTAATTAGAATTTCTGATTTTAAGCCAATGTTATGGATTTTAGATCATGTACTATAAATATCCACTGTAAATGATAAAAAAAATCATTTTTATCTGCATGTCAAAATAAAGGTAATTATATGTGTTATTAGATACAGACAGTTTTTACTGACATTTTACAATCATTTAAAAAAACAGCATTTTGTAAGTCTCATGACCTACTTTTTGTAATTCATCATCTTTTTGTGTGTTATTGTTGGGACATGAATGAGATGATTAAATTAATGTTCAAAATGACCAATAAATGTCATATTAAATGGAAAATTGAACATTACTACATGAGAGTCAGTCGCTGGGCCTGAGAGATGATGCCACTGCATGAGAGACAGACACAGAGGATGAGCACACGGGGTGAGGGGTGAAGGGTGAGCACCTCCTCCCACCCACAGCACCGCCGAATTCACCACAGCGAGAAGCTCAGCTCAAAAGCTCTGCCAACTCCAACGCAGAGGGGGGTGCTTTAATACCGTACTTCAGATTAAGATAACATGGAGCAGACAAGAACGAGAATTGGAACAGACAAGAATGGTGGTAGGGCTGATCATAGCTTAGTGGTTACAAATCTGGGCTGGTAATCTGAAAGTTGCTGGTTCAAAACTTGAGAAGAAAGAATACCATATGTACACACAGATAATGAGCACATAGTATTTGTTTCGGATTGTCAATGTAAATACATGTAAATATTTTCAAAATATATACTGTATGTGTGTGTATTTGTATATAGCCTACATAATAAATACACACATTATACACACATATATTATGCAAACAAAAACTTTTATTTTGTATGTGATTAATCGCGATTAATCATTTGACAGCACTAAAATAAATTCATTAAAGACTGGATTAATGTCTGCTGAAAATTAAGCCTTGTCATCATAGAAGAAAAAATACATTTTACAATATATTATAATAAAACATTTAATTTTAATTACAATATTTCACAATTGTACAATTTTACAGTATGTTTTAATTAAATAAATGCAGCAATTATAAGAGACTTCTTTCAAAAACATTAAAAAACTTTTTTTTTTTTTTGATTTGAACATTTGAAGGGAGTCAGTTTTTTTAACCAAAATTTCACAATCATCAATTCAACAGCATAATATACAACATGAAATGGCTGCAATATAACAAAGAGTGAAAAATTTAAGGGGGTCTGAATACTTTCCGTACCCACTGTATATTAAAACTTGACCTGTCGTGAATTTTACTTTTGGTGGCATAATGTGAGAAAAAATCCAAATATGTGACACCACATGGAGTTCTGGAGAAAAAAAAAACAATCAGGCATTCAAGATCAACTTACAATGGTAAAAGATCTGTCACAACAGATGTTGTCTTTAATAGATGGTTTGCCTCTCTTTGATTTCAATCACTTACACTAACAGGATCTAATTATCATTCTTTCAATGCAATTTAATAAAGTTATGGCCAACTGGAGTGCACCTCACTTACTTTTAAGTACTCGCTACAGACCTTTTTTTACTACATTTGGACCCAGTGTACAGCTGTGCAAACCCACGGTAACTGCTTATATATATATATATATATTAACATCTCTATTGCTACAGTAGCACATGCTTTTAACAGCCAGCTGCTGGCTTGCTCATTCTTTTTGAGCTCTGCCATAGTCAAAATGATGCTGGGTGCAGTTGAAGCAGGACGGGCCAGCGGTGCTACAGAGCGCCATTGCCGTGCCAGGTGTTGCTGTGATTAAAGGCTGAAACAGCGGGTCCGGCACTAGGGCTATTTCAGACAACTCCAGATTGAATTAAATCCGGGATTAATCGAATGAGAAATTGTATAACTCTCCTGA